TTCTGTTTTTGATGGCAACAGGCGCGATACCTAAAGATCTGTAAAAACAGTCTTATACCGCATGCTCCATGCAGATGACATTGTTCTGAGCAGTGAAAGCAGATAAGCAGTAAAAGCAAAAACAGATATTTCCAAACGTCCTTGAGAAAAACAATCTTCAGTTTATCCAAGGCCAGTTAGATTACATCGTGGACAACATCAGTGTGAAGAAACGAGTGAAAGCCAACACATTAGTGCAAACAGCGGGCAGCATGATGCCTCAAATTCAAAAATTCAAATATCTTGGTTCTACCTTTCAAGACAGTGAAATGACAGTTAAATCGGACGAGAAAACGGTGGCTTAAATATAGGAAAGTGAGCAGTGTACAGAGCAATAAGAAATTTCCCATTAAACCAAATGGAAAAGTGTACAAAAAGAAGGTAACACCAGTGCTTCTGTACCGTACCAAATGCATGGTTACTTTGAAGAGACACGATCAAGTCGGTAGAAATGTGACAGCTCAGGTGAATGTATGGTGTCAGCAAAAAGGACAATATCCGAAACAGCTTAGAAGTATCAATATTTTATAAAGGCTAATTATAAGTCGGCTCTGTTGGTTCGGCTGTGCGAAAACAAGACCCAACGGGAAAGTTCCCAGCACTGATGTTGTCGAGGAAGAAAAGAAGGCAAAGACTACAGAAAAGGTGGCGCGATGTCGAGAAGAACGATATGAAACTGCGAAGAGTGGTCGAAGATTTTACCAAAGACCGAAAAATGTGGAGGCAATTATCTCGAACAGCAGACCCCTGTTAGAAGAAACACGCTAGTAAAAGGAAACAGTACTAGTTAGCAGAAAAAAGCAGACTATATCCTAGCTCTGCTTCTGAATTACAACCATTGATCTGCTGACTAAGTTTGAGCCACTTCTAGCGGAAGGCATCGAAACGAAAACCAGCGTCACATAATAGGTATATGAAAACGGGCAACACAAATACTGTTTATCGTGGAAACTCTAAGGATGCCGACATCGAAATAGTTGTAAATTTTGCTTTAGTTCAGATGCGCATTTCACTATTCCCTGTATACTGCACCATGACCACGTGCTGTACTTCTTGCAAATGTATATTTTTCGTATAACTGACGTGTTACAAATATCATCTGTTCCGAGGAATGACGGCATAAATGTACAAATCTGGATAATAGTAGGTAGCTGCATGCCATAACTGTTCCCGTTCAACTGTCAGGAATAATAGTATGGTATAACGGTAAAGGTTAAGACCGAGGTTGTTCAGTCGGTAGAGCGTCAAACTCAGAACAGGTGCCGTGTCGAACAAGTCGCCCACGTTCCTTCTTTCAATAAATGAATATTACTTTGTGGTAAGCAAGTAAGAAACTACACCCCTGGTTGCCACGCAGCTGCTGTACATTCTATCTTTAAAATAAGACTCTCCACTAAGACACTGAAAAGGAGATCAGCGTTCTGCAGCTGACTTCAGTCCGGTCAGAGGGTATGAAAAGTTTAAAGGTTCAAAAGATATGAAAAGATTTCAGAAATCAGGGTTTTATGTACGGAGACGTTAAATGTACTGCTGCGAACGGCAAAAAAACACCCGAAACCAACCCGCCCCTTGAAGAAGGCCCGTGATACATGGGCCGAAACTTCGGTACTGGCCAAATATCCGAGTAACCAAATTGTTTGCGGTGTGTAAAAATAAACCATTCTGTGTGGTTTTTCATATTTACTACCGTACCTTTTCTCCTTCCTACCACAGAGATAATTTTTCATCTTGATTAAAATTGATTCCCGCCAATTGTTAAACATCAATTTTCCAACCAAACCAACCATCGGAAATGACTACAATATACTTTGCCGAGCAATCTTCCAAGTATAGGTCATCAGCATCGTCGTCATAAATCTGTGAGTTGTTACAGCACCTTCCCAGTTAGTACTATAAGACCCTGGTCACCATCAGTATAAGAAACATCAACTGCATATCCTAAGACCGAACATTAGGATTACTTCCAAAGCAATCCCAGTGTGCGTGCGACGTATCGCTGCTCGACGCTGCGACTGAATTAATTGAACCCCGTCAAAAACGCAGTGATTGTTAAACGAATTGCTATGAAATCGCAGTTACAAAAATAGTCTCCATCCTCCTTTCTATTCAAATCTAGCATGCAAAATGCACAGCCGCTTCTTAAATATCTCATGTTGCTGATAGCTTTATCAAAGAATAAGCGGTGATCTTTGACGTAAAGACTAGTACCGCAAAACTTCGGTTACGAAATGATGAACAAATATGATCCACAACAGATCTGTAACTGAGGACGACATCCCAAAGTTTCCAAGCTACTCCTCCCGTCTTTTGTTCAAAATTACGAGCTAGTCTTCTTTATTCTCACGGTACTCAGAAGACAGGGAATCCAGGTCTATGGATCAGAGGCATTTACACGTCGATGTTCAGCGAAGATATGCAGTGTACAAGCTAATGCCTGTACCAACTGAATACACACTTACATTGTGCATCATAGCTATACTGAGTAGCCGTGAATGTCCGCAATCGTAAGAGACCGATTACAGTCATCAGAGCATCGATGACAGGCCAAATAACCACTGGTCTTTTTTCGAGCAGTGCATGTCCAGCTGGAGATCACCACTCCGCAGTTTTGGAAAGTTAGTCGACAGGGCATCGCATTTATAGATAATCGCTGTCGCGTGTATCATATATTTCATCATTCACTGAGCCGTCTGAAGAAAGCCGTCTGCCAAGACAAAAGGGAGAAATGCGTTAACTTGGTGAATTCATGTCAGCGTAAAAGTTGCTGCAGTCACGAATCTGAGGCGCATAAAAATCTGATGATCTAATGACACGACTTGTTTTAATTAAAATTAATTAAACTTTACTAAGTAAAATTTACTGCACTGTGAAACTATCAATTTGACAGCCCTTTATTTGCGCATATTATGCGTCGCTCATATAAAAATACATTACTTGGCAACGGAATTACGGCATTCCACGCTTCTTGTCACTATTTGCCATTGTATTTTGTCCCGGAGAATATCATGCATGATTGCAAGCCAATCACCGTGCTATGTTTGGCTCGCAGTTTGTCGGTAGGTGCGGCCCACCTGCGTTGCCAATAGCTCGTCTTTGATACTACGTAACCATGAAGTTGTCGGCCTCCCTCGCACTCTTTTCCAAGATGGGTTCAGCACAATGCGAGATATTTGATCAGCCACGTGTCGTCCCGTCGCAGCTTGCTGATTTCGATCAGTCTCAGTCCGTAGTTGATGCTGGTTTCAACTGCCGTCAACGCCTTCTGAAGTTCTTCCGGGTTCATTGCAATGACTGCACATCGCCAACATAATCCAAATGTTGTGACCGGAGTCCTGATGACTGAAATATTACTTCACCATCAAAGTTTGTAATTGCCTCTGTCATCATGACATCAGTGCAATAGCTGAATAACATAGGTTCGGTGAAGATCCTTGCCATACTCCGCTATTAATCAGATGGTTGTCTGAGGCCGCTGAACATGTTCGTAGCACCGCCGTTGTCTTGGTATAGATATTTTTCAAGATGTTAAACGCTTGTCTGACACATCGTCACTTCATAACAACAAGTTCAGAGTTTTGCGGTCTGCAGAATCGAAAGCTGCCTCAAAATCGATGAACCCAATGAACAGCGGTTTGTAAAATCGTTTACACGTTTCCAGCAAACGTCGCAGTGTTAGAATGTGGTCGATGGTCGACTGGTCCAGACGTAACCCTCGCTGCTCCTCGCTGGAGGTACTCTCTGTAGGATCGAATTCTGATGACGACAATTCTTTCA